ACGGGGCCAAAGGTTGAGCTGATGCGCGGCGTACTGGACCGTAAATGGCCACAGCCGCATGGATCATGGAGGTACGAGCCACCTCCATGACTAAGCCAATGCAGCGCTCAGCAATCCCATTCTGCTGCGGTGAGGCCGGAAGCGTGAACAACTTGAGGATGCCCTCCCCACGACGAAAGTCTTGAGGAAAACCCTCCACCTCTGTCAGAGTGAAGACGCAGGACAGGAAGGTCCGTGTCGAACCGCTCGCGGAGCTGGAGACGAACAGCGCGGATCCAAGGGATCAAAACATTAGGGACCTCTCCCTTGCTGTGCAAGGGGAAGACCATGGTGTAACGCGAGTAGTCGTCGACAACCAGCAGAAAGTACCGCTCGCGGCCCTGTCCACTGACGCGGGCTGGGCCCCACACGTCCATGTGGAGAGTCTGCAGGGGAGTAGTCGCCGGGGAAAACTCGGAGGAGTGAGGAGCGGCGCGCTGCCGCCCCTCGACACAAGGAATGCAGGGAGGGGCAGGTGAGGGCGAGAGAGGAGGCAGAGACCTGGGGAGACCAGAGACAAGAAGACAGGAGTGCATGCCACGGAGACGTGGCAGGGAGGGGTGACCAAGGCGGTGGTGCCACAGGAGAGTCTGGTGCGACAGGAGGCGACACGAAGAGGAAGCAGCTACCTGGCCTGATGCGAACACATGACCAGAAGCAGCTATTTGAGTAGGCTCAGTAGTCAGTGTGTACTGTCTCGACTTGGGTCGACGGGAGAACGTGGTCAGGTGACGGCCCGTCCGTGTACACGTGCAGATCGCCACACGCTGACCCCCAGTAGTGGTGGCAGTGACTCACCAAGTTCGTAGAGAACGAGGGGAGGTGAAGACCTGACAGTGAGCCAGACGGAACCGCCGGACACGGGAGAACAGTGGTGGAACGTGCAAGAACTGGGCCCCCAGAGGGGTCAGCCAGTCTGACAGCAACAGGTGCAGGAAGTGGTGTGAGTGTGATACTGTCGCGAAAGAAACAGCGGGAAGCACCAGAGTCAAGTGTGAAGGTGTGCAAGGCCTCAGCAGGCGCAGTACCAGAGAGAGCAGACTCGCTAGCACCTAGAGCAGCAGCCTCTATACCTGGGCTGGGCGGCACACACAGGTAACAGTCACCCTCAGCACTAACAGTCAATGCATGCATGACAGCAAGGATAGCATCATAGTCAAGAGCAAAGATATCAACACCAGACCTAAGCAGCTCTAGCCAGCGGGGGCGCTCGGTCTCGTCGCCAAACTCTGCACGCCAAGCGTCGTCAAGGCGGGAGAAGCAGTGCTGGGTGTGAAACTTCCCGCATGTCTGACCAGCTCGGTCACCTGTGCCAATGACATACGAGCAGTGAACACTACCCCCAGACGCCCCACGCTGAGCAAGCCTCTCACGAAGCCGCTGGGGCTTAGGGGTCTCGCTCGGACGCTGCTGTTGCTGCCTCGGGCCACCGCCAGAACCTCCCCTCTGACCAGCTCCACCCCGACCGCCACCAGTGCCGCCGCCACCACTCCCACTGCTGCCACCACCGCCGCCACCACCCCCACCACTGCCACCCCCGCCGCCACCGACGCCCCCACCCTTGCTCACACCCCCACCGCCACCGCCGCCACCTCCACCTCCTCCACCGCCTTTACCACCACCACCCCCGCTGCCACCTCCACCACCCTTGCCGCCCTTGCCTTTGCCGCTGCGGCACTTCCCACTAGGAGCAGCAGCAGCCCCGACCTCCTCAGTACCAAGGATGTCAACAGCAGCAGTAGAAGCGTATGAGGGGGCAAGGGGGGAGGGGGAACACCCCTCAAAGAAGGGAGTGCGAGGAGTGCCACGAGCAGCACCTACAGTGGCGATGCTAGTCTCAGCTGCAAGGAGGTGCTTCTCGAGCAGGTCGACAGTGAGGGCGGTGGGGTCAAGTACGAGAAAGTGGTCTCTGACTGCGCGAAGAGAGTCAGGGAGGCGGGTGACTATGAAGTAGAGAGTCATGTACATCGGGGGCGGGTTCTTGTCTAGGAACTCGGCGGGAAGGGCGGCGCGGTAACGAGTGTCGCTAGTGCGAAGGTGGGTGATGAGGTCCTCAACTGTGGTAAAGGCTGACAGCTCGGGAAACAGGTAGGGCAGTATAAGGCGGCCGAGAGCAGCAGTGGCAGGGGAGGAGTAACGAGCGACTACAGCGTCGTACAGGGCTAACGGCAGTCTTGTGCTGGCCAAAGTGAGCGCGTTCGGCTAACGGCAGGTGGTTGCGAACGGCTAGGCGAGCAGCAGCGTCACGAGTAAGCCACTGTGAGCGAGTCGCACTGTCAGCTGTGTCGGGAGGGGCGAGAGAGGCTCCAGACGTGTGGTCAAACAACGAAACACTGTCTCTAGAGTCGCTCAGGAGGTACAGCTGTAAGTCATCGAGCCACGTATCGAACTGGATCGGACGGCCGTCAGAATCGAACGTGAGAACACTAAGCGTGGCCATGGCGGGCAGAGTAGCCTGGCGCGTGACCTACAGGGTAGCACGTAGGCACGAAGGGCTAAACCCTAAACCCTAGGGCTAGGCGACTGTTCGGGGAGAACGACGCGTGGGCCCTAGAGGTATGCGCCAGGCAGGGCTGAGCTGCGCGCTGCCAGCAGGGCGGCGCGGTGGGCAAACGAAGGCGGCGCGCGGGCCCTAAGGGCACGCGACGGGCGGGGCCGAGCCGCGCGCTGCCAGAAGGGCGGCGCGACGGTCAGGCGAGGGCGGCGCACGGGCCCGAATGGTGCGCAACGGCCGGGGCGTGGTCGCGCGCTGCCAGCAGGGCGGCGCGACGGGCTCCCGAGGGCGGCGCGACGGGCCACGGGCGGGGCCGGGCCTAGGGCGGCGCGACGAGAAAAAAACGCGCGTTGCGCGGCCAGCAGGAGGGCGCAAAAGGCGCCACGGGCAGAAACTAGTCGGTGGGCCCTATAGAAGACGGTCCTGGAACAGGACCTGCTCTGATACCATGTCAGAAACTAGAACGAGAATGATGTGCATTGAACAGAAATGTTGGTACAAGTAGTAACCCTAATTGGGTTGTACCCCTTATGGGCTACCCCACTACAGCCTACATAACAGAACATTTTGACACCCCACCCTGGACTTTGTCCTCGACAGTGAAGCCACTGAGACTGCACTCAAAGACACTGGTACCCTCACTCCACTACCGCTTCCCACTGAGGTACATGGTGCGGATGCCAGTTTTTCCATCCCCTGCACGCACCTCTCCACTCCACCCTGCACTATTTTCCCCTCTGGTAAGGTCACCGACCTTCACATCCCCACCCTCCGCAACAACCTCCTCTCCCACCGTGAGCTACAACAGGCAGGCATCACGGCCATCTACCCAAGTCATGCCACCTACTGTATCCTTTACCACACTGCCTCTGGTCGCTTTCTTCATCGCATTCCCCTTTGTCCCCGCACTCGCCTCTACACCCTCCGCATTCCACGCCCCTCTTTCTGCCATGTCACTATTCGTGTTGATACTTCCACTGCTCCTGCCCAGGTATCCACCACTCCTCCCGCTCCCCCCCCCCCTCCCCCATTTCAACCTCCCCAACCCCATCCTCCTTTGACCATCTCTCCCATCCTGCCGTACTTCTCCATCACCCCCTCAGCCATCCCAACTTTGCAACCCTTCGCACTGCCATCACTTCTCGACTCTGTCACAACCTCCCCCCACCCTTCCTCCCCTCCCCTCCTCACCCGCTCCCCCATGCCCGTCATGCATCGACGGCTCCCCTCACCACAGACATCCCTCTTTTGCCCCTGCCCCACTTGACATCGTTCACATGGACTTATGGAGCCCTTCCCCCACCTGCTCTTGTCAAGGTTACTGGTACATGCTCGTTCTCGTTGATGACAACAGCCGGTACTCCTCAGTCTTCCTCCTTCACACGAAGGCTCAAGCGCCGGCTGTGATCATCACCTTTGCGGAGCAATACCGCACTCACTTCAAACGTCCCATCAACCGCCTTCACTCCGACGGTGGAGGTGAATTTCTCACCCACACCCTCTCCACCTATTGCAGCACCCACTGCATCTAACAGGCTCACACCCTCCCCCATTCCCCTCAACAGAATGGCGTGGCGAAAGCCGCATCCGTGAGATGACCAAAATCGCAGGCTGCCTTCTCGCCCACGCCTCCACCCCTCCTTCCCTCTGGGTCTATGCCCTCCTCCATGCTGCACTCCTCCTTAACCTTCAATCCCATCCCCAGCATTCCACCATCACCCCCACAGAGCTTTGGTCAGGCACCAAACCCGATGCCACAGGCCTCCGAGTTTGGGGCTGTAAGGCGTACGTTCTCATCCCTCCACCTGGCCGCTCAGCTGGCAAGCTCGCCTCTCGTGCCCTAGAAGTGTCTACCTCGGTCACAACTGCGACTCGCCTGGCTACATGTTCCTCCACCCTCCCTTCGCCCGCCTCATCCGTAGCATTGACGTCGTCTTTGACGAGTCTGCCCCTTACTATTCCACTCCTCCTTCTGACCCCATTCCTCCCCCCTCCCGCCCCCTCACCTGGACCGGCACTGTCCTCCCTCCCCTCCTCCCTCCCGCACCACTTCTCCCACCTCTCGCTGCCCCGCTCCCCCCCCCCCCCCTCCTCGGCTGACATCTATGACCCCTCTGCACCCGCCTCGCCTGCCCACTCGACTGCCCCTCCTCCTCCCTCACCCTCCTCCCCTCCTTCTCCATCGCAACAGTAGGAGCAGCAGCCGACGCAACAGTAGCAGCAGCAGCAGAAGCAGCAGGGGTCGCAGCAGCAACAACAGCAGCCACAGGGGCGGCAGCAGCAGCCATACTCGCGCATGCCAGCCCTTGGATGCTCACTTGCAGCGGATGAATCTGACGGCAGTGACGAAACCCCGACTTCCGTAACGAAGATTACCGCCTGAATGCCGTAACGAGGATTGCCGCCCTCCACTGTGGCACCCCCTTCAACTCGTCCTTCGGCACACTGTCCCTCTCCCAGAGGGAAATCAAATCTCCAACCACAGATTCGATTTCAGGAGAAGTTTGGGAACCCATGCCTCCCGGACCATCTGCGTGGTAGGCACCACCCTCCAGTGCTGCGCCTTGTTCTTCTCATCGCCTCCCACCGCTTCCAACCGCTCCCAATAGTAATGGTCCAGCACCATACCCATTTTTTTCTTCTTCAATACAACGTACACGCCTCCCTCTATGTCTTTCAGCTGCCACTTGTGATACTCGTTGCTGAAATTGTTATCATACGCGCTGATCCGCCGCCCGCTGTAATGATCCAGAGTCAGCCAAGAGGCTCGGTTCTGTAACACGTGGTAACCTTTTTCCGTCTTCACTGCGCGCCACCGCTGCTCCAAGCAACCCCTCATAATCCACAGCCTCAACGCTCTCCTCACACACAGCTGGCGCCTTCCCACTGTCCCGTTTAAACACGTAGCTCCACGGCGGTCCACCACAAGTGCGAGGCTCGCATACCCCTCTCCACTGCCCTGCACCGCTTTGCACCACTTGTCACCGCTCTCCTCCTCCTGCTCGCAGTGCGCCTTCCCACCTGTGGTCCCTGCAGGGGTGATCGTCCAGTGATTGTGGTACTGTAGCTCATCCTCGCTATAAGCATGAATGCTTATCCCAAATAAATTATCCAGGACCTTCCCGCTGCCTCGGTTCTTGATCGCCCAGAACCCTCCACACGCGTCTCTCAGCTCCCATTGGTCTGTACTCCCCTGCCACATGGCAGTCACTAGCAGCCACGTGGCTGCCCCACAAGAAGTGGCTCAGAACAAAACCAGAGGCGCGGTTTTGGAGGAAAAAATAGGACATGGCTGGTGCTAATGCTACCACGCCCACACTCACAGCGCGCCACTGCTGCTGTTGCAGGCTGCCGCCTTCAAACTCCCGCGCCTCCTCACTGCCGCTCGCATCCACAGCAAGCGCCATGCCGGTGACTCGGTTACAAAGGTAGCTCCAAGGGAGGAGCACGGTCAGGAGCGTGGTGGAATATCGCTCTTCGTCAATTCCCTTGTCCGTCAACTCTAATCCTCCTTCAAACGCCCTGTCTGTCAAATCAATCAGGAGTTTCGGCATCAAGTGTGGCGGCTGGGACAGGCCAGATCCTGGTGATGGTGATGGTGATGGTGATGGTGATGGTGATGATGAGGGTTGGAGATTGGTAGGCACCGTCGGTGTGGCAGGTGTCGACTCATTAGGCAGCAACGCTGGCGGCGAGAGAGGCAGCATGGGTGGTAGAGGTGCGGATTTACCACGTGGTGCAAGCCCTGGCGTTGATTGTTTAGGTGCCTCAAGAAGCAATGCTTTGTACTTCCGATGCAAATTGAAAAGCTCCGGTGTGGACCCCGCCACGTCATCCACTTTTGCCTTGGCCACATCATCAACAGCATCCGCACGGATGGCGACCCACTGACAGCACGTGCTCGCCTCCACCCACCCGAAGCTTCCTCGCACCTCCGCCCCACACGTTTTCTCGAGGAACGCTCCCCCCTGGCGGCTCTGTAGCGTGAAGATCTCGAGCTTGTTGACCTCCGCCAGCAGCCACTGATTCTCCTCGCCACTCACCTCGTTGTCCCTTGCCTTCACTTCTTGCACTGGCACTGCTGCTGCTTGTGACGCAGCAGCACCCTTGGAAGACTCGTTTTTGTTGTCACTGATCCCAGTGAGCAAAGAGGGCTCTTGAGGAGCGTGAGGAGTCGTCATGGTGGTGAGCAGAGAGCCGGAGGCGCGATTCTAGAGGCACGTGTAGCCCTCTGACACAGCAACCCGCCGCCTTTACTGGGTGACGTTGCCAGGGATCAGCTCTACCGCTTTGACGGAGTTAGACTGAACCCTATTGGTACTGGTAGTAGCGACGGGGCTGCCAGGCTTGACGGAATCCGTGAACGGCTGCTGCTGATGCGAGTGCTTCAGCACCCTGCCGCTCCGGCGATTCCGGATAAACTCACAAGGTCCCACGAAGTACAGTGCTGACGGAGACAACTCCTCTATTTTCCACCAATGGTTCGGGTTCCTCTCATCCCCGTTATACGCCATCACGGTACCGAGACAACGCGCCAGCACCATGCCCGTACAGCATACGCGCCAGCACCATGCCCGTATAGAGACGAGGCCTTTCCCCACGTCGTAGAGCTTCCATTGGTGGTTATTCGACACGTCAGCATCTGGAACGGCTGTCACGTCTTCGCCTCGCTAGTTGCCGATGGAATCGCCTGATTGCTGGTTCTTGATCGTGTGGTAACCGTCTCTCGTGTCCAAAATCTGCCATTCCTGACTCTCGTCATGCAGATTCTTCTGTGCCTCATCCGTCACTTCCGTTTCTTTAGCTTGAAGAATCTTTGCCAGAACTCCTGCTCCCTTTGGCTCGGTCCGGATTGGCTACTGCTTTTACTAACACACTTTCGGTCGTCCAAAGTTTCAGGTTTAAGGGCATCCGCGATTTGGCAAGGCGAAATAATGACTAGGTCGTCATCCTGCGAGAGTCATGCTTTCTTGTTCGCGTTGCGAATAGTGTACCACATCTCGTTACGATCAATTTTATTAAGAGGCGTATCTGTTGGGAGCGAGTATCAACGGTTTACATCTTCCACTTCCGCTCGATGTTCTTGGTGGTGCTATTCGCGGATTCAAGGAGCTTTCGGAACGGCAGTACAAGCTACAATGGAGAATACAAAGGACAAGCATTTTCAAGTCCTTCAGCTGGGACCCAAACGCGAGGCGGAGCACAGGACCTACCGCGAGGAAGGTTGAAGGAGCGGGGGGGAAAGGTCGACGGGACGGAGGGCTGTGGTTGGGAGAAATAATTGCAGTCGGCGTCACGGCGTGGTAGGCGGTGAGCAGACAAGTAGACTTCACTCGCTGTGCTGCTCGCACATACGCACATCCCAGCTGTGGAAGGGTTAGAAGACCTGGAAAAGGGGTGTTCTGCTGTTGAAGCGGTGCTGTGGCTTGGCAAGGGTGGTTGCAAAGTGAAAGGGATCTGCTCGCTGGCTCGTGCGAACATCTAACCCGTCGATGTGAGGGTTCTGCTGATTACATGATTCATGTTGGCCGTCGATTGACGCCTAGATCATTTTGAAAAGAATGAACAGAGGGTTTTGCCACATCGAGTCTGAAACTTTCGCCAAACGGTCCTGACCGATTTGCTCGGAGCACCACGCATGCCATTCGGGAGCATCAACCCTAAAATTTTAGGGTTGAGGCCAGGGCTGTAGCTTGGTTTGGGCCCAACCCTTACGAAGCTGAGTGGGCCCGAAACAAGCCCTAAAACATCCGGATACCAGTCGAATTAAGCCCTTAAATTCAAGCCATTTAGATTCCTGCCCTGAGCCACATGCGCCATAAAGCTAAGTAACTCTAGGTACGTACTCTACGGATCGAAGCACGCTGGTGCGGGTGACTAGAGGGGGTTGGGAGGAAGACGAGTGGGACACGTGCACGGTCGAAAGTCAGGAAGAAGGGGGGGGGCGGGGGAGAGCAGGTACACGGGAAATCCGGGGAAGGCTCCAAACCCGTCCGTTACGAATATGGGCCAAGAAAAAACCAGCCCTTCAAATCTCAGAGCTGAGTTGAAACGAACCCTGAATTTTCAGGGAAAACGTGCAAATGCCCGTGAATCGACAGGCCTGGTTGAGGCTCTCAAATGGCATGCAATCCGAATGGGTTTTAACTTTTATTGCCCGTGGTCAGCTTGCTGACTCACTCGGTAGCGTCGTCTAGCAAAACTGTAGCGCTACCGAGCGCTACCGACGCTACCGAGTGCAATATATGGTGCGGTATGTGTGGTTTTGTGTTACGAGTGCAATTGAGTGAGCAAGCAAGAATTGCACTATCAAAGCAAAACAATACAATGAGCAAAGGCATGCGTGAAATATATTTAGTGAAGCTACAGTGGTAACGGTAATGCATGAAATTGGGGGTGCGTGACGGGCCTGGCGCCGAGGTTGGGAATTGTCGAGGCGGAGGTCCGGAGCGCGGGTTACCAACCGAGCCGTGAGGTTGGGTCGCGGCGTGAACAGTGGCGGGAACAGTGTCGAGGCGAGTGGTAACGGTGTACTTATGGGTGCTGTTGGCGGGAACAGTGGTGTACGCGCTGAGCAGGGACGCGAAGTAAGGAAAAGGAATTTTCCTTACACTACCCCCCCCCCCCCCCTTCCCCTAAGGAGGCCCTCCTTACGAAAGCGCGTGTACATCCCGGAAATTTCGACTGCGTAGATACTCGGTGAGGACTGGGTGATTTTCAATTCTGTCTAGGGGAACCCAGTTGTCTTCAGTGGGCGTATGATCTTTCCAACGGATCAGAAATTCGATCCTGCGAGCTCCCCGTGGGTCACGAACTCGGTGGCTGAGGATTTTCTCGGTCCGTAGGCGGTCGTGTCATGCTGGCTGGGCGGTTGCGAGGCAGTTGGCTGGTGGATGGCACGTATGGGCAGAGCACGCTGACGTGGAATGACGGGCTGACGTACCAGTCAGCAGGGAGGAGGAGGTGGGCGGTGACGGGTGTGATCATGTGGCTGATGCGAAATGGCCCGCAATATCGGGGGCGGAGTTTTGGGGTGATGGGCAGGCGAAGGTTTTGAGTGTCGAGTAGCACAAGGTCGTCGTGTTAAATTGTAATGTGTTATATGTTGGTAGGCTGTAGTGGGGTAGCCAATATGGGGTACAACCCCAACTAGGGTTTCATATTTGTACCCAAACTTCTGCTAGTTCATTCATTCTTGCCTAGTTATTCTGAAATGGTATTCAGAGCAGGAGGTCCCTAGGACCTACCGACCGTTTTTTTTAGGGCCCACCACCGCTCGCATGCGGTTACCACGCTACCCCGTGCCCTAGCCTCGTAGCGCCCTCGTGCGCCCTCGTTAGCGCCCTCGCGCGCCCCTCGTTAGCGCCCTCGCGCGCCCCCCTTGCTAGCGCCCTCGCGCGCCCCTCGCTAGCGCCCTCGCGCGCCCCTCTTAGCGTCGCCCGCCCGCCGAGCCGCCCGCTCGCAGCGTCGCCCGTCCGCCACGCTGCCCGCTCGCCCCTCGCCCGCCGCGCTGGCCGCTCGCACCCTCGCCCGCTCGCCCCGCTGCCCGCTTCGCAGCCCGCTCGCCCCGCTGCCCGCTTCGCAGCCCGCCCGCCCGCTCGCTGCCCGCTTCGCGGCCCGCCCGCTTCGCTGCCCGCTCGCAGCGCCGCCCGCCCGCCCGCTACCTGCTTCGCAGCGTCGCCCGCCCGCTTGCTGCCCGCTCGCAGCGTCGCCCGCCCGCCCGCTGCCCGCTTCGCAGCGTCGCCCGCTCGCTCGCTGCCCGCTCGCAGCGTCGCCCGCCCGCCCGCTGCCCGCTTGCAGCGTCGCCCGCCCGCCTCGCTGCCCGCTTGCAGCGTCGCCCGCCCGCCCGCTGCCCGCTTGCAGCGTCGCCCGCCCGCCCGCTGCCCGCTTCGCAGCCGCCCGCCGCGCTGCCCACTCGACGCGTCGCCAGCCCGCCCCGCTGCCCGCCTCGCAGCCCGCCCGCCGCACTTCCCGCCTGCAGCGCTGCCCGCCTCTTCTGCTGCTGCTGCTGCTCTGCTGTGCCCTCACGCCTGAGCTATGGCCTCTATTCGCGTTCTTTCCTTCGATGCTGAGGGCCGTCCCGTGCAGTTCACTTCCTGGCTCGACGACCTGCAGTTGTATCTTATGAGCAATAGCACGGACCACATCTCCCTCTATGACTACGCGTCTGGTGCTGCCGCTGCTCCTGCTGCCACAGCCGAGCTTAGTGTACGTTCACAGTGGCAGACTCGTGACGCTGCAGCTCGCCTGGCTATTCGCAGTCACCTGCCGTTACCTGAGCTAGAGCACTTTGGCGACTGCAAAACCGCTAAAGCCCTATATGACGCTGTCGTTGCTCGCTACTCCTCACCTGCCACAGCCGAGCTTAGCCGTCTCATGCTGCCTTACCTGTTCCCTGACCTGTCCGCCTTTGCTACAGTCGCCGATCTTATCACCCACCTTCGCACTAGTGATGCTCGCCTGCGTGCCGCCCTTCCCACCGAGTTCTGCGCTAAGAACCCCCCTCCCCTGTACTGGGCACTCCACTTCATAGTCACCCGTCTCCCTGACACCCTCAGCTCAGTGCGCGACTATTTCCTTGCTCGCTGTCCCACTGAGCTCACTGTCCCCCTCCTAGAGGAGAAGCTGCTAGCAGCCGAGAAGAGCATTGTCGCTGTAGGTGCTGCTCGCGGCGCTCCTCGCACCCCCATCTTTGAGGGATGCTCTCCCTCTCCCCTCGCTCCCTCCTATGCTACTGCTGCTGCTGTTGACTTCCTTGGTGCTGAGACTGCTGGCGCTGCTTCTGCTCCTGGTGGGAGGCGCCGCACCGGCAAGGGCAAGGGGGGCAAGGGTGGCGGGGGTGGCGCTGGGGGGGGAGGGGGTGGGGGAGGTGGGGGGGGAGGCGGTGCTGGAGGGAGCGGTGGCGGGAGTGCCGGTGGGAGTGGGGCCGGCGGCGGAGGCGGGGGCGGCGGCGGGAGCAGTGGCGGTGGTGGCAGCGGCGGCAGTGGCGGCGGTGGCGGTAGTGGCGGTGGCGGTGGCGGTGGCGGTGGTGGCGGTCGGAGCGGAGGTAGTGGCGGCGGTGGAGGTCGGAGTGGAGGCACAGGCTCGGGCCAGAGCTCCCAGCAGCAGCAGCGTCCCCAGTCGACCCAGCAGCTTCGTGAGTGGCTTGCTCAGCGTGGGACGTCGGGGGGCAGTGGCCGCTGTTCCTATGTCATTCGCACAGGTGATCGCAAGGGACAGACGTGTGGGAGGTTTCACACCCCGTACCGCTGCTTCTTCCGCCTTGACGACGCTTGGCGTGAGGAGATGGGCGAGGATGTTGAGCGCCCTCGCTGGGCTGAGCTGATGAGGGCTGGGGTTGATATCTTTGCTCTTGACTATGATGCTATTATTGCTGCCATGTATGCATTGACTGTTAGTGCCGAGGGAGACTGTTACTTGTGTGTGCCGCCTGACCCAGGTATCGAGCCCGCTGCCCTAGGTACTAGTGAGTCTGCTCTCTCTGGTATGGTGCCCCCTGTACCTGCTCCCTCCA